TAGGTAGTGTAATGCTACGAAATGCTGATTGTTTTTGAGAAAGGTTTGTAAGAACTCCTTTTGACGCAAAATATTCATACACTTTAATCAAAAGATGTATTCAGATCGGGTGTTTAGAATTTCCAAGACGGTAATAGCCCTTCATTGGAAAATAAAGCAAGAAGACAAATCATACCCTAGACGTTGTAAGGAAAGTGCACCGTGTTATAAAGGTAACAATCCACAAAGGCAGAGATCAATGGTTAAAGCTGCCCATAAGCGATTTAAATTACATATACAGAAGTTGCTTTTATGACGTATCTGTTCAACCATCGAATATTTTAAGTGGTAAAAGAAAGAAACAGGTATTCATGCTATTCTATATTAAGATATATAAGATCAAGTCACCGGATGCAGCGAGCTGACCGTTGAAACGGGCTCTGAGAAACCGTCGTTTTCGTACACTAAATGGCTTATGGAAAGCATACACTGAAAACGGGTGTGCATTATACATGACAGAGTTACGACGGAGCCTTTAGCAACGGAAACTATGCTGCAGAGTCATTGCCAAAGTCACGTGGCGACATAGACCCTAACGTCGTACAATGTGCTCAACATCTGTACATATATTCACGTATATATGAGGACAGCGGTAAGTTTACGGACTTACAACGCTAAAATCCGGGGTTCGATTAACGGAGATGGCTTTGCTCTAAAAGAAATATATATATATATATATAAGTGTTCATGTGTTTGCATGTGCACGCCTATTTGAATAATTAATTTAAAATTTTCATGTTTAAAGAGAAATCAGCTCATTTCAAATTATTGAAATATAAAACAAAACGTAAGATCTCGAAAATGTTAAAGTTGTCAAATCACATAATCTACCTTAACGACAATTATTAGTAATTCGTGATCTTTGAATCCCCCACACAATGGTGAGAAAAGTTCCAAAGTGTGTACATGTGTAAGCCGGTAACTGAAAACTGTGAAGGATGCCTTATCCTAAATTTTCGTATACGGCTATTAACTAAAAAAAACAACAATAAAATAATAATACATCCACCAAACAGTTCCATTGTACGAAGTTTTATCGAAGTACGAAGTATGGCAATATTCACACGTAGACGATTTAAACCATTAGTAAAACTTGGCGCTCGCAGAATCGAGTAAGATAAGAAATATACGCCCGACGATAATTTACAGTAAAACCTGTTACGACAGTTTACTGTGTGATTAATGAGAAAAATATCAATCATTTTCTGTTCTTGCTTTTCTTATAGCCTGAAAAGGATACTTAAAGCTCTACTTTTATTTAAAGCTATCTCTTATAACGTATATCAATCCTTCTTCACCATTATCTGTTTTCTACATCCCATACGTTACACCTTCTCAAACGGCGTTTTCTCCTTATTAGCTAGCTGAACTAAAAAAAAAATCGATGTTTTGTTTTACCAAACAACATTTTACATTTTTATCCAGAAACCACTTCGAGGCGTCTATGAAGGCTGGCTGATTTAGGCAGTTAATGTATGTATAATATTTAAAAGTGACCGACAATAAATAGACACCAGTTTCACACGTACTCTGTCAGACTGATAGAGATAAGATTTATCTTCTATGACTATTCTAATGACTCCTGCATCCTTAGGTATAATTTACGTATTTTGACACATAAAAATTAGCATTTTAAAACTGGAAGTTACTTCATATAATTGAAAATGATCATACATTACATTTACCTTATACACTTTTAAACAAATCGAATAAAGTACTTGATAGAATCGGAAGTTTCAGCGTGCAGCTAAATGTGTAATATCCACATATGATGTTTATTTTATATACTTTCATATATGGTTAAGAATTCTGAGAAATCCAAAAGTTACATCGTATAACTGTGATAGTAATATTTATTCTGTTTCTTTAATTGTTATTCATCACGAAGCTACTCATTGGACTATCTGTGCTCTGCCCATCGCGGGTATCGAAACTCGAATTTTAGCTATGGAAGCTGTAAGACTTACGTCTGAGCCACTAAGGGGGCGGAATAGTAATAATATATATGCTATTCTTATTTTACAATAAAGATGGTTGACAAAAGCAGAATGTGACATTATACAGTGTATTTACTTGTTATAGATGTAACCACGTTGAAACTATAATTTAAGATGGAAGTTAGTTTTATAGTACAATTAAAATAACTGTATATCCGTATGTTAAATGTTCCTTAGTAAGCCAATTTTATGCTGTTAACTATATTTTAAATCACTACATAACCAGAATATTGTAGCTACATGTAGAGGTAATATGGAAATAACACATACACTCACTCATATATATACATGATTTTACAGGGTTGGCGAATAACTACAGTTAAGTTAAAGTAAGTAAAACTGGATACGTTCCTTAATAAGATGATTCCACCTTAGTAACTTCGTTGTGTTACGTATTAGAATTTCAAATAGCCTGAAACTGAGTTAACTAATAAATTTAAATTTAATAGTTAAGTTGTACTTTAGATTTAGCATTTAGATATATGCCAATATATAGTCAGTTTATGATATTTGCCAACAAGATTGATACACACAATTTTCTTTTTAACACAAATACGTTTTAATACACACACAACAGTACAATTTAAAATAACAGTTATTACAAATCGTTATTACAAACAATTATTTATAAACAAAAGTTTCACAAACTTACAAGCAATATAAAAAATCTTATTTCTAGTTTGGAACTTCCTTGATATCTTATTGAGGGTTCACGATAAGCGAGTTAATTACGAGTTGATGTAGTTACGATTCGCCGGGAAGCTAGCTAGCTTTGTTCTTTGCCACACACGCTGAGATTTCCACCGTTGAAGTTAGGTAATGTTTTCGTAAAAATACTGGTGTCCAATGAGAATCCACTGAAGTTGAATGAGTTGTAATGTACGAACTTTGTAAATGCTCCTGGTCAAATATCTAAAGTTTTCCAATTGGTAAGCGTTATGACAATCACAGTTATAGCTTTCTAAGTTTATAGCACACTGACTATAGCAAACTAATAATAGATACTCTCTTTGGCGCGTCGCATAGGTTATATTTATAGCCGTGGGAAGGGTTTTCTAGAAATTCAGATTACGTAACAATACAATTTAAGTGTTTACCTACACACATATATTGTTGATTCTTACTCTCGAGAATCTTCTACAACTTTGGAGAACAAGCGGGAGTTTCGTAATACATATTTAACACTATAAGCTACGCATGTTTTAAAATATAAACTTAATCTAAACAATCGTTGATATTAAAATAAGTATATAATAACAAATTCGTCACAATTGAAATAATGTAGTTTATTTCGATTTATGATGGTTATGGACAGGAATTAACTTAGTGGTTAGCTGCTGACCTAAGGATTGGTTAGTTCAAGATTCGATACACAACAAGCTGCTGAGCACGCTCCGTGACAAGTACTATTAGTTAAAAGCAGCTGCGTAGGTGGCTGATATTGCTAATTAGAAGTGGTTGGTCATATATATGAGCCTTGGGGTCTCTGATCTTACTGTTTAACTCGGGTATTTAGGTTGAAAATATCAAAAATATGACAGACGTGACACTTTCCCAACCTATTTCTCCGACATAATCTCCGTATTCTGATTCATTTGGAGAATGATCATTTCTACTTCTAATTAATAAACAGTGATTTGTCAGGCCTCCAAATAAATGTGCAGTTTGCATCGTGTTTCTTTTTTTACTATTTTCTCTATTTTCTATTCTCTATTTTCTCTATTTTTTACTATTTTCATAAACCGTTCCCATAAATGATTTTTGATAAATCAGAACACCTGTTATTTGTAAAGTCACTGTGTCTCTTTAGTGCAAGAAATAATGGACACTTATAATGCCTCTTGTAAAATAACTATTGTTAAAATAATAATGGTTGTTAGTTATTTAACTGCAACTCACTTAAAATCGCATTCATTTCCATATACAGGGTTCCACTAAATCTATTTTGAATATGCAAATCAGCAAGTCACGTGGTAACCACGGCTGATATAAAATCGTAGTGGAACGGAATGTATCAGAAGTACATTTTGAGAATGTTTAGCATTACATAGATGCAACTGAAAACTGATAGCTTTTGTGAAGGATACATAGCATTCCTTACCGATGTAAAATACTTATACGCCTAGATCATAAAAATGTGTATAAGTGGAGGATCTAGAAGTTCCAAGATATTCCTTGAACTTAATGGCATTGGAATACGGATAAACTTAGGGAACCAGGGACATCCAGAAAGAGACCTGCAGCGCATCGTACCTCAGCCATGTTATGCAAAATGTGGCGTCTTGTAACAGATAAGCTCAGTGGCCTAGGAAGCAGGATCTAACACAATCAATAAATATTTCCATCTGGAAACGAAGCCAACAGTGTACGGTTTAACAAGACAATGTTTTCAGTCATACCTCCCGTTCAATTGTCGCCTATCTGAAACGAGCAGTTGGGAAATGAAACGGGTATTCATGCAATTCCATACGAAGACATACCACTCAAGTCGCCGGATGCAGTGCTTATCAATTTCTATTGAAATAGGCACCGGAAAATCGTCGTCCTCGTACACTAGATGTAGTGAAAGCAAGTAGGCAAGAGGAATCTTTATTTTAAACGAGACAACCTTACAATGGGCCCTTTTGAAATGGTAAATAAGTTTCAGAACTGATGTCAAGATACACAATCAGCAAATAGAGCATGACCGGATGTGGTGACATAAACTATAATGAGGTGGTGAGGCTCCAAAACTGTTTTAATGTAACTCAGTCTTCTGTACAAGCGTCTAAGTTTTTCTATATAGCTTTAATTGTTATGGGAAATCATAACATGTTATGTATAATCTTTGAACAAAAGAGGTAAAAAAATCTTCTCACCCAGGGAACACGATATAGTACTCTTTAAAAATTATCTTGACAATAATAACAGCATTAATAGTATGATAAATAAACAAGATATGTTGCTGTTGTTTTCTATTCATAGGGTTACAATTCCTGGACACCAAGGTACTCTGGGCAGTACTTTGGTCCATGATGACCTAGGACCGTGGCAAGCTTTTGGAATCGAATTCGTCTTGACGTTTGTAGTGGTATTTACAGTATTTGCTACACAGGATCCCAACAGAAGGTCTTTAGGAAGTGATGCACTGGCTGTAGGTATTGGCTACCTGGCCACATCTTTTACTGGGGTAAGTCTAGATGATATGAAAGTTTTCTATCATTTTGTTCATTTGTTGATATCAATCCACAGTCACTATTGTTAGAGCACTCGACTCGCAATCTGAGGGTCGCGTTATAATGTGACGGTCAATCCCACTATTCGCTGTTAAAACAGTAGCCCAAGAGTTGGCGGTGGGTGGTGATGACTAGCTGCCTTCCCTCTAGTCTTACACTGCTAAATTAGGGACGGCTAGTGCAGATAACCCACGTGTAGCTTTGTGCGAAATTCTAAAAACCTAAACCACTATTGTTACGTAATATAATTTCAAATAGCCTGAAATTGAGTTAGATTGTAATTTAGATTTAGTAGTTAAATATTTGCTGATATATCTCCAATTTATAATATTTGCCAACAAGATTGATACACACAGTTGTTGTTTTTTAATACAAATATATTTTAATACACAAACCATGATACGATTTACAATAACAGTTATTACAAATAATTATTACAAACACTGATTTATATACAAAAGTTTTTATAAACTATCAAGCAATATAAAGTCTTCTTTCTAGTCTGGAACTTCCTTTGATTATGAAATGCTATCGAGGGTTCACGATGAGCGAGTTAGTTACGAGTTGACGTAGGCACAATTCACTTAATAGGGGGCGAGCTAGCCCTGTAGTTTTCGCTGATTTCGCTGATGACGATAGAAAATGTTTTCGTAAAAGTACTAATGTCCGATGTGAATCCACTGAAGTTCAATGGTTTGCAATGTTTATAATTTTTAAACGTTCCTGGTCAAATATCTGAAGTTTCCCGATTAATAAACGTTAATCACAGTTAATGCTTACGGAGTTTATAGAGAGAATAGGTGGGAGTTTCGCAATA